TCGCCACACTACAATACCAACAATCAATTTTAAGAGATCTGGCTCAACAGTCTTCTACAAACCCACTCACGTATCCTCTTGTGGGTACTCTCAATAGCTATTTGAGCATCCCACAGACACAACGCATCCCTCAACTCCTCAGATTTGTTTCAAGTCTCACTCCTCAGGAATCCGCAGTGATCCACGACCTCGTCGAAACGTACAAGGACTACAAAAAATCGCAGTGATTTATATTGATTGTTTTCTTCAATTATCGGTCAACAATTCAAAGAAATGATGAAATCACACAGAAACCAAATACTTAGCAGTTCTGAAGAGCCTTACAAACACCCTCCACGTCAAACTTCATCGGGTCATTTTTATGAGCAACAGCCGCAAATACCTCAAACGCTATTTTGTAGCACATCTCCCGTTTCTCTCCTTTAAATGTCTTACAAAAGCCATTCGCCTTCTTCATCGCCCAGTTATCCCCTCTTCTCTTGACAAGTCCCATTTGTGCAAGTTGTCCAACGTGCGAACAAACCTGACATTTCCACGTCTTTTTGCAATACACCGACCCGCGTGTCTCTTTCAACAATCCAAAGAGTTTCTGAATCTTTACAAACCTTCTCTTGACCTTCTCTAACGCAGAGTCAAGTACCTCAATACTCTTTTCGATTCCGTCGAGTCGATTTCCGTCCTTCTCATTTTCTCCTTTGAGTGTCTCTTTCATGATCCTGTCTCGCTCGGCTTCTGCTTTTCTGAGTTGATCGGTCAAAGTCTTCCTTAGTTCGATCAAATATGAGGTCTCTTCTTCCGCAAATTTTCGGTGCTTAACTGTCAGCTCGTTCCTCCTTGCCGTCAACCTCTCACTCATTTTTTGTGCTCGTTTCAGCATCTCCATGTAGTTTGTCATTTCCTTGACCACACACGGTGTCGGGTTTGAATACTTGAGGGCCTCAATTCTGTTCCGGGCATACACCGCTCGTTCGGCCGCCTTCTCAATCTCAACAGTGACAACCGTTAAATCTCGAATCGAAATCTTTTCAAGTTCTTTTCTTGACTTGACGCCGATCTCCAAAAGCGCCACACGCTTCTCTTCTTCTTTTTGTTTGATGAATTCAACTGTCTTAAAACGTTCGGCCGTAAGTTTTTTCTTTTCTTGTTTGAGTTCCTCTAAAAGTTTTTGGCTACGAAGTGTCGTGTCATACTCAATGTCTTTTTTTAAAATCTCAATTCGAGATTTCCTCAAATCTTCTTTTTTAGTTAATTTTTCTATTTTCAAATAACTTTTTCGTATTTTCTCTTCAATCTTTTTCAAATTCTCTTCCTTCTCGGTGACGTATACACGCTCGGCTTCATTCCGGAACTTCTCAATCTGAGCTTTTCTCATTCTCAATTTCTTGAGTTTTCGGCGGAGATCGCGTTTCGTTCTGACAACCTTGTACCTTTTTTCAACATAGACATCTCGCTGTCCAAGTAACTTTTCGGTTTTTTCAAGTTCTTCTTGTTTTTCTTCGATTTTTTTTGCAAGTTTTTCGTCTTGTTCTCTGAAATCAAGGAAATTAACGAGCACTTTTCTTTTTTCAATCTCGTCCTCTCGTTCCATCGCTTCCATCTCCTCTCTCTGTATCTCGTTAATCTTGTCGATCTCAATTTTCACTTGTTTTGACTTCGCCTCAAGGTCCTTCACAAATTGATCGACAACCGCCCGCTCAGTGTCGTTAACGTCTTTCATGATATACTCCTCCCTCATGTCTTCGATCTTTTCAATCAGCTCGTTCCGCATATCAATTGACTTCTTCACGTATTTTTTGAATATCCGTTTCACATCATTTTCCCGCTCGAAATATTTCTTGTTGACTTTTTCGTCTTTTTTGCCTTGTGAAAATGCGGCTTTCATAAACCCAATCTCTTCAAACAAAACTTCTTTGATTTTTTTCATACGTTTTTGCTGAGCAAATCGTCCACTAAAATCCCCAATTTGTTGGACATTTTTAAGGTCACGTGTGCCTTGCCTCACAAATTCCTGAACAGTCATGTTCGTCGTTCCGGCAAGGTCTTCTTTCCGCGCATTTTTGAGTTCTTTTTTTGACGTTTTGAAAAGATCTCGTATTTCTTGTGCATTTGCCAATTCCATTTGTAAAAGGGTAACATTGTCGTTGCGTGTTTCCACGTGGATCCCCGTCGAATTTTTGTTTTTTTCATTTTGAATTGTTTTATTCAAATTTTCAATTATGAGATCCTGGGCTGATATCTCGGTCGCCATGTAATCTTTTAGTATCGAATAGTGACTGCGAACCACTTTATTAATATCATTTGCTGAAACACTGCTTAAAAGCACACACAGTGCAATGATTCTTATCATAATATAAAAATATGAAGTTCTTTTTAGTTCATTTTTATTTTTTTGATTTTAACGAATAGTTTCGAAATATAGTATCTTATTACATTTTTCAATAATATTTATTCAAGTTGTTAAATAATTTAAATATAGTTTAAATTATATAAGCAAATGATTAAATAGAAATATAAAACAAATTAATATATATAGTTTATTTTAACCATTCAATTTTATTAATCAAAACCATATTAATTGTGATTTATCCCGTCACCCCGTGCCGAAAAGTCAAAGTCAAGACCACTGGAACTTGAATAAGTCACTTTATGGTACCAAAAGTGATGTACTTAGTCATTCTATTTGTCATTGTTACGAGTAAATATTCAACACCGTCGCAGTACCCGCAACGTATTATTCTCAATTTCAGTCCACATCAACTTCCGGGGTGGTCGAAGAATTCGACCGACTATTTAAACACGTATTTAGAAGCGTACTCAGTACTTAAGATCTCCCTTAATCGTTTAAACCCAAAGGCGGAGGCTGTCATTTGCTATCCCGAGTTTTACGCTGACATTCGGATCAGTGACACACAAACCTTTTTAAATCTTGTGCAACGCCTTGAAGTGCCGAGCGTCATCATCACAACGTTGTCGACGTCGAGTGACATTCTTTCACTGATTCAGACGTACCATAAGAAGTTATCGAATTATCAAGTCGCTCTTTCTTTTGCACAAACACAGAGCGGGAAGTGCTTTGGACGAGCAAATCAAAGTGTTGCTGACGACTTAATGAAGGGATTGGAACAAATGAGTCTAGACGAGGAGTTCAATACATTCAAAGGCATCGCCGCAGTCGACTATAAAGACTTGCTGAAGTACGAAGCAACTATTAACGTGTCCACCGTCTTCGTCAACTTCTTTGAAACATCGGCGTCCGACGTCGAAAACTTCTTGAACGTCGCGAAGAAGTTCCACATCAGAAAACTCGCGTTTGATATCTCGGAGTTCGCGAATTCGATGTTCTACCAAAACTGCGGGTTCATCGGAAACTTGCTCAGTGCGTGTTATGAGAAGGGAATCAATGTCGACTTTGTCGTTAATAGGTCTGCGTGGCTACTTTCAAATAACTTTAATGACTTCCTGAATTTTGTGCAAATGTATGAGACGTGTATGTCAACTTTATTGTAGTTCAATTCACTTTGTGTTGTTTGTCCTAGTTATTGATTATAGCATGGAATGAACTAAATCTAAACTTAAAGTGTTACTACTTGTTAATAATTTAAAACTTAACTATTATTAATAGTTAAATGCTAAAATAGTAAAATTTTGGTATTTATTATTATATAATAGAATGAAACAAAAAATACTGGTGCTAATAATTAATAATAACTAAATAGATTGTTGATGGTTTGTAAAACACTTTTGATGATATTATAGTTTATTATTTGAAATATTATATATTGTAATAATATATATTATAAATTTCTAATTACTAATTACTAATTTGAATTGAATAAATATATTATTAATTCATATATAATATAAATTATAAAAAACAATTTCTTCATTTTAATAATTTTTAGTAAGAAATAGAGTACTTACTAATATAATTTCTTAAATATCTTTTAAAAAAATATATTTGTTTCTTGTTTTTTTTTGAAACCAATTTTTGATAATAATTACTCAATTATTGACAATTAAGTCATTTGTTTGTAAAAAATAGTTGTTGAGTTTATTGAAGTTTTTTTTAAAGCTGAAAATCTATCTGCTTTCAAAATAGAAGATAGATATGAAGTAACTATTTTAAAATAAAAAATATAGTATGAAGAATAATTAAGTTATAATTAAAATTGAGATTTTATTTTTTGCACAAAACATCAAGTCACATTTGTAATTATAATTTAATTTAAAAAAAAAACGAATAGTTTTTTTATACTATAAATTACTATGAATATAATTATAAATGCAACATAGAAATAAAAATACTGACCAAAACACGAAAGAAATGTTTAAGACAACCGAAAAAAAAGTATAGTAAAATATTAATAAAAAAAAACAATTTATAAACAACTTCATTTGAGATAAAACGTTGGAGTTGTTCACTTCTACAACATAGATTTCTTGTATAACACATATTAGTACATTATATTAATAAACTATAGTTCCACATTTAGAAGAGAACACCATAACATTCCATACAACTCGAAATGGACTAAGATTTGATGTCTCAAGAGCAGACCATAGTCTATGAAAAAAGCGACATAGTAGGTGTTCACATTCATTATGAGTCAGTAGTGAATGAATTAATGTTTCATCTCCCATTAACGATATATGTAGGCAATGTCCTTCCACCCGAACTTCAAGACCCTTTTGTGAAAATTATTACAGAACTTCTTATTACTTTTGGGAAAGTAGTTCCCTGCACTTCTTTAATGATAGACGTTTGTATTTAAATTATACTTATAATAATAATTATTATAAGTATTAATTAATTAGGAAGAATTTAAAGTGTCCACGAGTGAAGGGACTTTGTTTCGATCAAACACGTTCTGTAGTCGTGTGATGACGTACTACGCGCGGATATCATGTCGGTCGTTTCTCCGGCAGACTCTTAAAAATGTGATTAATGAAATCAACAGTATTCCAACCCTTTTTGAACTCGACTCGATTAAAAACCCAAATTTGACTCCAACTATGATAACAAAGAATTTTGAGTTGTTACAAGCGTATACCACAAAATTTATTAGATCTATTGAAAATAACATTTCCTCCCTCCCAATGCCTATTTTTGAAATATTTAAAAAGCTCTTTGAGATGTCTAAGAAACATTATCCTGACAGCACATTGTTACCTTATACTATGGTTGGAGGATTTCTCTTTTTAAGAGTTATTTGCCCAGCTATAACGACACCGGAGTCTTCTGGAATAGAAACTGAAGTTCCCATCACTTCTCCGTGTCGAAGGAATTTGATTCTAATTACTAAAATTCTTCAGAACATAGCAAACAACATCTCGACGTTTAAAGAAGATTACTTAAAAGTAACGATTTCTTTTACTACACAAATGTCGACTAAAATCAATCAATTGATCGAAAAGATGTGCACCAAAGCCGTTGACCTCCCTCCACAACCTTTCCCACAGAACTCCATCGACTCGATTGATAGAAACAATTTGTTTGAGCTCCACTCGATTTTATTAAAAGCCGCGTCGCAACAAAAAGAGCCTCCAAAAGACCTTCAAGTGAAGTCTCCACGTGAAGATATCAAGAAACTAGCTATTATAGGGAAGGTAGATACTCCTTCTTCTCAAATTAAAGCCGACGGAAATAGAAGAACTACTTCATGGCTTGCCGCAAAGCCTACACATATAGAAAAAGAGTCGACTATTGATAAAACTACTCCACGACTTATGGATAGACCGTCGAAAAGCACAAGCTCAGGGTCTCCTATAACACCTACTATTATCACCCCAGTGGCTTCCCCTGGTAACTCCCCAACGACTTCTGAGTCTATTGATTGTTGTCCTTTTAATGAAATGAATACTACTAATCCTCTCTCTCATTCAACACCAAGTTCGACGAATGGAAGTATTAATAATACTAATGGACATTCAACTGCTCAAAGACCTTCCCCGTCCGCATTCTTCTTCCAACGTCAAAGCTCCGAGAAGAACTTTGATCGAGTTACAGACATCGCCGCTATGGCAGATTCTACCAATCCTTACGTCCCAACATCCCCTCGTGGGACTAATAGAACGTCCGGGTGGACAAGGACAAGTGTCACGCGACGAAGTCCTCCCCAATTTAATGCGTTGTGTCAGAAGAATGTGACTAAACAGAAAGACGACGAGAAAGACGTTAAAGATATCAAAGATACTAAAGAAAAGAAGCCGGTGCACATTCCATCTCAATATGAGATGTATACGATGGTGAAGAAGATTTGTATAGTATTAGGCCCATCTCCCTTATTTATGCCGAAGAAGTTAGGGCAGCGGATTAATATCGATGTAGAGAAAGATGAGTTTATAGGCTTCATCGGGTCTGTAGTTGAGAAGTTAAAGTTAGAGCGAGCGGTTTATATAGAGAAAGCGCAAGATGGGTCTTCTGTTGTGTATGTCATTCTATTAACGTTAATGAGTATCTTTGAAGCGGATGAGAAGGTGAAAGATGCTTTTGATAGTCATTGGGGGGAGATAAGTTTAAAGATCATCGAAGGGTTAGTGAAGTACACGCTTTTATTTGACTTAACTGGTGTGACAAACAACTTGAAAGAGACGTTTTTGAAGTGTGTAGTAGATCGGAAAAGTGTGTTTACTGCGGAGCAGCGAAAGAATGTGAAACGCGTGATTTTGTTCCACGCGAATAAAAAGGTGAAGAAAGTCATTAACACTGTGCAAAAGATGTTTGAAACAAAAGCTATTAAAAAACTATTACTAATAGATACGTGTGTGGAGCTGGAGAATATCTTGGGGGTGTCTAATGTCTTCTTACCGGAGTCTTCCGTCTCGTTTGATCGGCGAGTGTTTGTTGTGATTAAGATCAATAAGAAGCAAAAGAGTCAAACGCGGATCTTGCGATTCTCATTGGCGTGGCTATGTAATGTCGACCAAACAACAAACCAATTAATTAATACAATCGACTTAGATGCTATCGAACGAGTCGAGTTGAAGACTAGTGAAGCCAAGATGTCGATAGAATTCAAGATAGATGAAACTAAAGAAAAGCGACTGTACCAATTCAGTTCTGTCGCGTTAATGGAAAAGGCGTTGTATGAGTTATACGCCATCTTCTTGATCCGAAAAAGACGAGATTCAAGCTTCTTCACATACACCGTCAAGAAGTGCGTCGTCGACTTGGCTCATCCTTTGAACTTCGCAAAGTCCGTGTTTAAGAAGGACTGTCAGTTATCTATCACACTGAAGACTATCATGATAGTCGAGATGATGGGGATTCGTGACATAGAAATTGCTTCCCTCATTAAAGTCGAGTATAATGAAGACAAGAAGGTAGTTATCGTCTGGAAAGATGTCGGTTGTGAAGAGGAAGTTCTTGAGTTCGAGAGGTTCGAGCATTGTGATGACTTCATTAACATTGTAAACGACTTGATGGCTCAATATAACTCCCCAAAAGTTTAATTCTGTTTTTTTGTTCCTCTTTGAGTTCATTAACTAGTACTTTAATTAATAATTACTTATTATAACTGAAACAAGTAAATAGTACTATTTTTAGTAAATATATAGGTTAATATCTAAAATAAAGACCAATCGAAATCTATAAAAGACTTGAAATAGAACATTACTAGTTATTATATTAATATTTAACTATATAAGTTGAACAGTTAGAATAATACAAATACAATGTTATAAATAGTTTAATTCTATAGTTTTAAAACCAATAAAACTAGTAAATATAAAAACACACAAATGAGATTTGAAACTTTCCAAAAAAAAGTCAAGCAATAGTTGAAATATGTATTATATTAAACTATATTAATTATTAATAACTTGAAACTTGGACTTTCCATTGAACTTGTTATACTATCTACTAATCTATCAAACTCTAGTTAATGGAACAATTAATACAGACCACTTGATGTCTAAAGAGGAACCAGCCATCACGTTTGGAAATGTCCACATCACACAATACAAACGAGCTATAGGAGGGTCATGTGGTGTACCTGAAAAGGGGAAGTATCCGTTGGGGTTGAGTTTTGAAATAGTCAACGAGAAGACTATGACGTTTGAGGAATATGCAGAGAAGTACGAAAA